ACTTTAATATGATTCCATGTAATTAATAGCAATTTTAATTTAATAATTCTAAATTATAATCAACAGACAGCCCTAAAGGTTTTTTTTTATATTAAATAAATGATATAATCAAGGAAAGACAGAGTTCATGAAATTTAAACATTATAAATGGAATTGAGATATACATAAAGACTATTTAATGGTTATATTCCGATGCAGGGCTTTATTATTTTCAATATTTTTTGCAAAATTAGTATTAAAATAGATGAGATTTGCCCAGTACCAGGATGTTGATGAGTAATTGTATTGTCTCCAAGGTCATTCCTCTGAATCACGTGGTGTAAGATTCCTAACCTATGATAGTGGCAGCAGTACAATTTCCTCTCAATTTTCTCTGCCTCTCCATTTTTTTTTTTTTTTTTTTTTTTTTTTTTTTTTCCATTTTTTTTTTTTTTTTTTTTTTCTTTTTTCATTTTACGAAATGTACGAAAATCTAGCTAACTCTCATCAGTAAAATTCCTCTCCCGATCGTTCGTGTTTGGGCATACATTTGGTATGAATTTTGTCTACAGTAATGCTTGAACTTTTATTTGCTTTTAATGTGTCTACTTGGTAAAATTTAGAAAGTAGTATCTGTTTCCCATCAACCATCTTGGATTTGCCATCATAAAGTTTAAGAAAAAGAAATAAAAAGTGCCTTCATTATCCTTTTTTCAAAATATTAGGACGAAAAACTACTTTTTTTTTTGGTACTTGGCCAAAAATGTCTGAATAAGTGAGTTTTAGTTGTGACTTACAGGACACAGCATTTAGCTGTGATCAAACGCCCTCTAATGCATTATGTAAACATTGGAATTCGTAAAAACAAAAAAAGAAAGAAAATTGAAAAAAATTAAAGAAAAATTTAAGTTCTAAAAATTAGAGAGATTTATATCATAGTACGTACATTATGTTGTTTCCATTGTAATTTAGTCAAATACTTAAAAAGGACATGGCATACACGCAAGGAAACCTACTAGAGGGCGCCTTTCTTAAAACTGGATTTTTTTAATATAAAGTTGTTAATTTGGGATTCTTTTAAATGAGTGGTTTCACTTAAAAAATGAGATTTCTTTCTATATTTTTGGGTAGTAGTATAATTTTATGAAATGGTGCACAATTTTAAGGAGTCTGCAAACCTCTTTATAAATTCTTCCTTAAAGGCATTTAAGTTATGTATATTTAATATTTGTGTTATTTAGGTTTTGTATTTACATGTGAATGGCTTTTCCCAGACATAGTGTCCATTTTGGACATTAATTTTATCTAGAATCTTAATTCCTGATTCTTAGATCAGTTCTGAAAGTTTTTGGGGAATTTTTTATTGGTAACCACCGAGACTAATTTACAGGTCAGAATTTATTAGTATATATTGGTGCGATTATTGTTAGATTATGTTTCCTGTCATTGTGTGATCTTAATTTCAGTTTTAACCAAATATCGAAACTCATACTTTGCCTAAAGTTATTGACTTTCATTCTTATTTTTTATTCATGTTTTTTGTATTAATCAAATTATTCTATGAATATTTAGAAATATTTGCTCTTCATGAATATTCATATAATTATTATTAATGGAGAAACTAATATTGAAACACAGAACGAACATTACTCCGAAGATAGAAAGGGAGGCCATGATTCGACGTTTCGACCTTTATTTGGTCATCTTCTGGAATGAGAAGACTTTAGACACTGATATACAAACAATGCATGGAGTAATGTTCGTTTTATGTTATTTAAACATAATCAGTGCATTTGTTGGTAATATATTGAGACATCAAATAAAAAAAATTAATAAGGTGTTTGATAATACAAATATGTATATCTTGGAAGAAAAATATAATTGTGGTGTAAAATATTTTTTAAATATTATGTATCCTTTTTATGTAACTTCTTTCTAATTGAAATGTAGCTGTTTTATCATTTTTGGTGAGTTGGTCAGTACATGTATTTATGTATATTTTTTTTATTTTTTTTTTCAATTGTAAAGTGAAGAAAAGTAAAAGTAATTCCACAAGCTTTATTAAAAAGAATTAGAATAAAGTTCATCCAATAATTATATAGTTTTCAGAGATTGTACAATATGTCCTAGATGCGGACCAAGTTTCCTTTTAGTTGAATCCAGGGTATAATTCCATGAATATTTGCTGTGCATGATTGAAACTAAAACCCACAAAAATATTGCAAAAAAAAAAATGATTGTGAAAGTTGTACAGAGGTCATCTTAACCAGGATTTACTTAGGAAATAACCCTTGGCCACCTGAGATAGCCTTCAGATAATGAAGAAATTATTAATATATTTCAAATAGTATTATGAATAGTAATATAGTGCTCTAGGCTAGTTGGTTTTTACCAGAAATCTTAATATATTCATACTATTCATACTAGTCAAACTTTTACCAACAGAAGGGGGTTTGCGGTTATAGGAGCAACTTCATGGAGATATGGTTTAATGATCTTTCTTTAATGTTAATTTTTCTATGAACAGGTATACATAGTGGCCAACAGACTCCGGCTACAGTAGTAAAAACATTGTTTTTTTCATTTCTATGGTCGAAAGAACAATAAAACTGACAAAAATAAATGGCAGAGTAAAAAATCTCAATTGGCCAGGCAACATTGCCAAAAAGTAATTTAAATCACTGTCTAGTGGCTCTCTTATGTCATTGAGAACATTAATTAGCATAATAGAGTCAAGTAAATATACCAAAAAAGCATAATAATAATGAAGTTAATAATAATAATAATAGAGAATAATAGAAATACAAGAATTCTGAATAGATTTGAAGGTAATCCTATGGATTATGAGGTTAAGCACCCTATCTATAGACCATATATAGTTTTTATATTTTTATACATTTTTCTTTTAATTTTATTTTGTGATAAAGTGTAGTTTATAATACCCTTGACCTCAGGGAAGAACAGTGTAACAATACTGACTGAGTATCCAGAATAAAGAAAGATTTCTATCTATCTATCTATCTATATTGTAGATTTGGTTTTATTCCCTTAAGGTTTAGTAAGGATTGTCATTTTGAACATGAATTACACATTGTATTACCCAATATACAATGAGTATGAAACAAATTTGAAATTGTTCGGTAAATTGATCACGATGTAAAGGCGGAAATTCACTTTTCTTGTTAATGATTCTGATTGTAGATCTTGTTTCATATTACTCTGCTTTCAGGGTAGATAATCTCGTTAACATGCCTTATTAATATTAATACACTAACATTTTACAGATTAATGATCTAGAATTGTATTAGGACCCATATTAAAAAACAACACCTGAGTAATGCATTTTGCATGAATATTACACTACCTTCTACATTTGATTGTCATTATACTGTACCACTGTAAGTAAATCTATAAATATGGTAATGAATTGGTTTGAATCTTAATCTAACAAATGAATTAATAATATGAATTGATATTTTAATGATTTTTTTACGGATGAAAAGATAGAATAATGAAAACTTGACATAATGTAACAATGATAAATTATAGTGTTTCTGAAAAGCAGTCAAGTGGACGAAATAGATGGATTGAAGTGAGGAGACTAAAAGTAAGAATTAAAACTAAGGAATATGTGCATGAAAAAAAAAATTAAAATCAGAATAAAAAATCAGAAACATTAAAAAGTTAGCATTTTGTTTTGAGTGCATTAAGGGATGGCATGTGTTACCAGAAGGCAGAGTTTTTTTGCTGTTCTATACTCCCTTACCATGTGGGTGTATTTTGTTTTTTTCAAATTAATATTTGCATGGAAGTTATTCTCTAATAATAAAAAAAGAGTATTAGGTTACTTTTCAAAGTTATGGTTAGTTTCTGGGAGCTTTTGATGACATCTCGTCATCTTCGTCAGCCGTTTGAATCTGGCGTTAACTGACACGTCAGCATCGATGTTCGTGCGATGATGTAGCAGGCTGTTGTATATGGGTGGTAGCTCATATCCACAAGCTCAGTTTAATGGTGGCGTTCTCATTTTATTTCTATAGCTTCTTTTATAATGAGAACGCCACCATTAAACCTGAGATTGCGGATATGAGCTACCACCCATATACAATAGCCTGCTACGTCATCACACGAACATCAATGCTGATGTGTTAGTTAACCGCCACATTCAAAAGGCTGACAAAGATGATGATGTCATCAAAAGCTTCCAGAAACTAAACCATAACTCTGAAAGGTAACTTACACTCTTTTTCAAATTAATGTTATTTTAATTTTTTGAGGGGATTTATTTTTGCATTTTGTATATTAATTTTTTTTTTTTTTTTCAAATTGATTACATTTGGACTGTGTTAGTATTCATGTTTTCAAATTAACATAAATATTTTTTTTAATGGATGAAATAATGATGGAAAGTATGAAAGTCAGTTTAGGCCTACATGGAATTAACAGAATTCTGGATCATGTCTTTGAACATTAATTGTCTAAAATATTTATTTATTTTATTTCTTTCAACAGTTGGTCGATCCAGCCTGACCTGATCAATTGGATCTCTCAGTTCAATCAATAAAGACAAAAGTATAAAAGATGAAAATAAAACTAGGTCTTAAACAATAATAATTCATTAAATTAAAATAGGAAAATATAAAATCCATAATGAATATAATATAATATAATAAATGTAATGAGTATGAAATCAGTGATTGTGTGATTGACAATTAGTGGCCACATGAATAAAAATTTCTGGTACTATATGCATCATGTTTTTTTGTTTTAATAAAAATGCTTGGGTGAAAGAACACAGAAATTATATGGTATACATTGATTGGTATGTGTACAGACAAAGTTTGCATCTTGAAGAAAAAAATAATGCATCCAGGGTAAAAAAAATACAAAGTTGTATACTTTGACAAAAATGTATCTTGTATGCTGCAGCTTCTGAGTAAGTGTAATAAAGTATGAATATTGCTACTGGCTTGTACAGAACAGATTATTTAAAGCTTTTTTATATTTTATATTTATTTTAGAGATTCACAAGAAAAGAGGATGTTGTGCGACATTACAACTGGCACAAACGACGTGACAACTCCCTTCAGCACGGTTTCATGAGGTTCAGTCCGTCGGATGACTGCGCACCGTATTACCACAACTGCTCCCTCAATCTCAAGCATACCCACTACCATTGCATGCAGGTAATACATGTGCAATTCACCATACATGCAAGTGATTCTTCTCTTTAGTTTTATCTACACTATCAAATTCTATGTGACAAAAAAAAGTGATATGCCCATATTTGGATGTATTATGACATCAGCATGCCCATATATGGGCACATCACACAAGTTTGTCACATAATTTGATAGTGTGGACTAAGCCTTATCATTTCAGGGTCCTGGGTTCAAATCCTGTGACATAGGATTATTATGCATCATTCCATCCCCACCCCTCTCCACCCATCCCCACCCTTCTGTTGGTGTCAATATGACATCTTGTGTTGTATAGCTCTTGCATAAATTAATAAAAATATTTGTTTGAATTTTGTTGCTTAGTCTGGATGTTGCAAGGTGTATACTAGTACATCTGATGTCTTGACTCATGAGAACTACCACAAAAAGAATGCTTCTTTGCTCAATGATGGCTTCCAGCGCTTCCGCGCCACCGAGGACTGTGGCGTCAACACATGTAGCTTCTACGGTCAGAAGACCACCCATTTCCATTGCCGCCGTATCGAGTGCAACTTCTCGTTCAAGAATAAATGCGACATAGAGAAACACAAGGCCTTCCACATCAAGGATGATCAGTATCAACGTGAAGGCTTTAAGAAATTCTCAAAGCATGAGGTAAAGATTTTTTATTAAAGTTGCTGTGTATATACTTTTTTCATTGTTTCATGCCTACCTCTGTACTACCCAACCATTACCACAAGCCCAATTGTTATCCCAGTGCATAGTTCCCTTTTGTATTCTTGTGCGAAATGTAAATTAAGATGCTTGCATTCCAAATATCAGGGTCCTAGGAACAAACTGGGGCGAATCCATTGGGGGGAAGGGGAGGCGCACAATCCATTGCAACTAAATTTTAAAAATCCACTACATACAATGCCATGTATCAAAGTAAGACAGACTAGAGAACAAATACAAGCTGCCTTCACCTCCCCTCAATTTGAAAAATTCTGGATTCACCCCTGAAAACTTGTTAAGTCTCATTTCAATGTTCTTTCCACACTACTGAATTTTTGTGACAAATTTCCTTGACAATACATCCCATTGTCTGCATGATGCTATCATGCCACCAGCCATATATTTCAATTCACAAGTTTGTCATATATAGTACAACTTTGTAGTGTGAATGGAGTCCTGCATGATTTAAATTTTAGAAATTAAATTCCTCATACTTTAAAATTATTGTGCAGAATTTTTAAGGATAACAGTTCTACAAATAATGATAACACTTCGACCAATTTTTTTTCTACAGTTTTGCCGATTCGATGGCTGCAGGTATTCCCACAACACCAACCATTTTCACTGTATTCGATCAGACTGTGACTTCACGTTTACAGCCGCAAACCAGATGCAATCACATCGACGCAAACACGAAAGACGGCAAAGAATCATAGCCTTCGAGTATGACCAGCAACGTCGCAAGCTTTTCAAACACCTGAAACCGAAGACAACCGTCTTTAGGAATCTAGTCACCATGAACCATGTACCGACAGGACCGGTCATGATACCAAACATACCAAACTCTAAACTGGTGATGGACCTTCAAAGAGAAGAAGTACCAGCCAAGAAGATCAAATTAGAACTGGAGACTATGATGTCAGAGAACTTTGGACCCAAGATCAAATTAGAACCAGAGACAATGATGTCGGAGAACTCTGGACAAGATGAAGAGGCATCCTCACCAGAACCGACAATAACATCACAACCATCCTCTTCAGCAAGTACGCCAACTTCTCTATCATCGCAAGGGAACATCTTGTCAAAGGCATTCGCCGCACAAATGGAGGGGGATTCTGCCGGTATGCAGACAAATAGTTTCAATGACTCGTTAAACCTACCGATACCTTCGACCATATCGCCACCAGAGGAGCAGAAGCTTGAGAAGACTATGATCTCACCACCAATCGTAAAGATGAGGTGGGATAATAAACCAGAGGAAATTTGGCAGAAATACATTTTAAGGTAGGTCAGATATTGATTGCTTGCTTAAAATCAACATTGGCATGTTTCAACCCCTGGATTAGTCAGACGCCTAATTTCTTATCACTGCAATCTCATCCTACATAATCTCTCATTCCAGAAGTCAGGAGGTGGTCAGCGATGGGGAATGTATTGTAAATTCTTTTTTGATCATCAGAATTCAAGCAACTGTTCCAACAATAGAGACATAATCATCATTCCCTACTTTATGCAAGTCGTGGCCTTATGCAAAATACTAAGCAATTTGTATAGTTGCGTATTATACACTAGTGAAAATTATTGACTTACTTAATATTTATTATAATTAATATTCCTGATTCATTTCTGGAATAAAGGTTGTGCTAGTGGGTAAGATGTTTGCCTTCCATTCCTAATATCGGAAATTGTTTGGTTCAGAGGGAAGGGTTTGGTTTTGTGTCCTCGTGACAGGCACTGTATCTGCATTGCTTCTCTCCACCCAGGAATAAAGAACAGCTCTACTTCCCAGCTTCAGAAACTTAGTTGTTGAGCAACGACAATCCCCATTAAATTATACAGTGTCAACAAAAATACATTATTATTATGCGAAATTGATCACTATTACTGTTATTTACAGGTACACTGCTAATGACCACTGTGTTCCTCATTGCGACCTGATGTACAAAGGTCACTACCATTGCCAGGTTCCTGAGTGCCAATCCACATTCAAGTCAAAGGATGGCGTCAATAAGCATGCTAGGTGATTATGAATTATTTGATTGGCTAATGGGTATCACATGAAGAAGTGCATGTCTCTCATTGGTCAAAATATGTTGCTTTAAAATTCAACAGTAATGAAAAATTGATTCTTGTAAAAATTTCAGTTACTTAAACAATTGCATTTTGATTGCTGAATCTATTTATTTACTTTAAAAAAAAACTAATTTGACATGATTATATCACATCACACCCATATATTTTGCATGATGAGGTTATATCACACCCATAAAAGTTAATATAGTGTTGACTATCACCACTTTACTGGGTTGTAACTGTTCATAAAATGTATATACGGATGTATGTATTTACGCAACATACATGGTTATTTTCTATTGGCCAAAAGGTATCACATGATGTTTGAAGAGGCAGAAGAGGCAGGTTTCCACTTCTTTGCTCAGGGTGAAAGCTGCGAAGATACTTTCAAAGACTGCGCATTCAGTCCACTGGCTCACTACCACTGCATGTGGGTAAGTACATTCATTGGAATATCTGCCATTCCATCAAGTATACGCACCCCCTCAGTCTGTCGCCTAGTGGCTCTTTAGATTACTTTGTCAAGTCAAAAGTTGACTAAAAAGTATTGCTTGTAATTATTACCCTTTGACATAAATTGATCCCTTCTATGCAGAAATCCCCTGGGTATGGGGAACTTTGTGTGCTACCTTTTAGTGTATTCTGTCGGTAGTATTTCTTGGGTTTGGAATCCATACCCCTGGGTATTCGTTGGTTTGATGCTACATGAATTTGGGTCCCGTAAATCTGTGCATAATTTTCCCAACTTCGAACCATCTGTATTTACCCAAATTGTTGCATATCTTGCAAGTAGCTATATGTGAGAAACCATTTGAGGCTTTGCCATCCCAAGACCAGCATACTGTTGTTAAATGTTAAAACTAAGTAATTAGCATACGAATGTGGCGGTATTGTATACTTTAGCACAGAGAAGCTGTAATACTTTTACTCATAACTTTGGAAATAATAAGTCGATCCCAGTAAATTTTTAAGCTATATAATGTGGAGAATATGGATATATTTAATAAAAAGTCAATTTTCTTATTTGGTCACTCATGCTGGGTTTTTTTAGGTATTTAGTTTGTAAGATATTGTATAGTTTAGTTAATAAGGGAGGTTTTGCAAGCTTACGAAAACGATAAGAAATACAGTTACATCATCAAATGTTTAGTCAGTCCATCCCGTACTGTAGCATACCTGTCACAATGAATAAATGATCATATTCAGCACGTATAGAATGTTTAGGGCACAAATGACGATAATGCTGATGACACATTCGTTATCGGTTTCATAAGATTGCGAAATCTCCCTATTATGATAATGTAACTTGTTTATATTTTATTTCAAGATGTTTGTTCAATTTTGCTTGTAAACAGAGTCTCAGGCCTGGAATTTACTGCGGTCAGGTGGTCCACACAGGCAGTAACAACCAAATGAAACCTCACGAGATGAAGCACAATCGTAACCCGCAGCTGGAAGAGATCAGAGACTCGTACGACGATGGTAAGAACGAGCTACTATTCACTACCACCGACACACACGAGCCGGGCTTTGTCAAGTTCCGCGAGAATCAATGCACGAGCGGTGATTGCCAGTTTGTGGCCGAGGTTCACTGTCACTGCACGAGACTGGATTGTAACTTCACCACCAATGCTGCATCGAAGATGAAGGAGCATAAAATTAACGAGAACATCGCTTTTGAAAGCTTCAAGCAGTTTAGCCGTAAGATGGACTGTCGTCGACCCGGATGCAAGTTCAACCTCTGGAAAAAACACTTCCATTGTCTGCATTTAGGCTGCAACTTCTCGTTCTTGCAGGTGAGTTCCTATTTAGAATGTTTTTATCATTTTTACGTATGTACAAAATATCTGCTAGGGTGAGAAGTTGCAGATTGTGGGGGCTAAACAGGCTTTAGCACACTTGCCTCATCCCAAAAGAAAATCACCACTGATTTTAGATTAATATCAACTAATAAGTTTGCATAAATTAAAACATTTAACACCTCTGAAAATACTAGTTTATCAACCACACTAGCACAATGAGGGGGTGAGTGGACCATGGTAGGGCAGAGTTAGGTATTGATACAAAAATCCTTCTCTCCCCCCCCCCCCCTTCAAAGAAAAAAAACATCCTCACTCTCTCTCCCCTTAATGAAATATCCTGGATTCATCCTTGGGAAGTGGGTTAAATGTATAAAGACAAAATAATAATGTTAAATTGACAACAATCATTGTTTTATTATGTTGGGAGATAAGCTACGGTCACAAACACAGTATGGTATAACATACTTTTGAAGACTGATTTAAAGAAATAAATAACACCTGTGACAGAAAACTTACCCAAGTTGCCTAAGTAATTAAATCTATTCAAATTTAATAATGTAAGAATAATCCTGGCATTAGCTAAGATCGAACCAACACCCTTTGTTAATATAAATGCAAGCTACACAACCACTATGGCACATTTCTTCATTCCGAGTATAATGGAACGGTAATGGATAAGTCCGGCGCTATGTAAATTTTAAAATCTATCTATCTATCTATAAGTTTAGAATTACTGTGGAGATAATGAGGATGACAAATTATACAACTAGGGATTAATTATTATTTAACAATTTAAATATTGATAAACTTCAATGTCCTTGACAAATTTGTTTATACTGTACTGCAGTTTGATAAATTTATGACAGTGATGATTAAGTAATATTATGTAGATACATTAATAATTGGAAATTTTAATATTCATAGACCAGTGTAAATGTTTTTGTTTCCATATTTTATGTTAATGTTAAACTGTATTATGTAGAAAATGTACTGTTCCCCTTGGGATTCAAACCCTACCCTTTAGTTGCTATAGCAACTGTGCTGCATTGTAGGTATACAACATTGGATATACATAGCAATATAAATATGGTCTCCACTCCAGAGAAACTCTGACCGTTATACCATTCTAAAGCTCCGTAGAAACATATTATAAGTCCATATATCGGTATGATGATGTCATATCACACCCATATATGGACATACCACACCTTTAAGTGTGGATAGTTCCTAAAATTAATTTAAAAAAAAATAATTATAAAACTTTATTTCCTTTTTTCTTTTAATTTTGTTTTATATTGTAAAGAATTATAAAGCATTGTACAATATGAGAAAAAAGTAAAATTGAAAACCATGAAAAAAGAGGACAAATAAAAGGTGGGTGATCCCCACAAAAGACAAAAAAAAGAAGATCTTAAAATTAATATTGTTATGCAAGATTTTTTTAAATTTTTTAAACTATATTCAGAGGAGGGTGGAGAAAATAAAATAAAATTTTGTTTTCTTATTTAGCAATGGTTTTGCCAAAAACATCCATACGGAGAAGAAAATAAAAAGTATGTTATTGTAAAATGGGATAGTTATTTAAATGCTTTAAATTTATAAATTACATTAGGAAGAATTATGCATATCTTAATTTTGAAGATTTCAAGGCAGCGGCAGGTGTAATAAAATTAAAGAAAAACTTTTATTTTTTTCTGAAATTTCCATTTTCTTCGTGGCAGCGGGTGCGCTAATTGGCCAAAAATTAAATTTGATTTTTATTTGAAATCATCATCATTGGCAAGCAGTCGGTTCGCTGAACAAGGTCCTTAAACAAATTAATATCTTTAAATCGATAATGTAAGGGCCGGGCATATGTAAAAATGCACAGAAATAGGCCTAGTTTAAACAAACTGACAGGTAGATAACCCTTATAACTGACCTTACTCCTGAAAAATGGTTGGCCGAAAGATTAACAACCAAAGGCAAATCATCTAACAAAATGGCCTAACTATTTCCAGATATCAGTTATTAGATAAATGATAAGAGAGGGTTAAATAGTAATTTTATTGTGAATGGGATTTTTTTTTCAATTGAATTTTTTTTTTTTTAATAACCTAACATAGTATTATGTACACACTCTTAAGGAGTTAAGTTAGGCTGTAGTAATAGGAAAATTTCTGGTAGTGTAATTGAATGATTTGATTCGGCTATTTTTAGTTCTTTCTATTTTCACTTAACATGCTTTTATCTATGAACTAGAATCCTTACTTTAAGTTGTTTCCTTGGTAACTATCACAATATTATCTTGAATTTCTCAAACATTGTCAACGATTTATCAATAAGCAAATATCCTTTAAAACAACTAATTGATTTGCAAACCAAGAGCTTTATTCTAGTAGTCATGGCAACATGCTTAGTACAGATAACAGTTTCTGAATCCAATATTAAGCATGGTATCCAGGGTTGACAATTGATTTTTATGTCATTTGTTAAGAGGTTGCTGCTATGGTGATTTCTATTGTTATTATGCAGATGTTGTTAATGTGGATGACTGTCAGATATTTGTTTCGTCAGTCAGATAAATATTCATATTAATGCTATTAATTGTTATTAACAATTAAATGAATGCAAGAAAATTAATATAGTCTATAATGTAATGATTTATAAATGCTTGCAAAAAAAAAAAATTTTATTGCCCAACCAAAGTAAAAATTTAAAGTGATGATCAGTTAAAATGGGGATTTTCCCCTTTAAACGCTGTCCAGATTATCAAATCTTGTTTGACAAAAAAACGGTTGTATGCCCATATATAGTCATGATGTGACTATATATGGCCATGATATGATGTCATCATGACCATATTTAGGTATGTTGCAGGCTTTGGTCAAATAAAATCTGATAGCCTGGCCAGGGCTTTAGGTAAAGCTTAGGACTGTTGCAGTGTTATCCATACTCACCAATGCATTTGGTTAGTGTTAATCCATAGGGCAATAACCCATCATTATATGACATCAAATTTAATAATTGAAGCTTGAAAATTAGCTTTTTCAAACACCACATACGTATTTCAGGATCCTCTATGGAAAACAGTGCAAAGATTAATGCCCACCCTAGTTTTCAAGATTTTCGACTGGTCAGGCTTTGCACAACACATTCTTTAAGCCTAATAATGATAAAAAATAGAGCAATAATATAAAAAATATATATATATTTATATATCAAATTTAGTTATAGTCATAACAGCTGTAATAATGTGATTATAATGTTTATTTTTATTGCATCGTTCACTTGCAAGTGGATTTGCATAGGGATAATGTCCACTCCAAACAGGATGGGTGTGAATAATGTTATTGTCCACTACCAGCTGGATTTGATTTGTCCACTTGAAGAATATATGCAAAATTTGTTATCATCAACCAAGATAGAAGTTAATTTGTCACTCCCAGATGGATTTTCGAAAAATGACATTGTCCACTCCAAAATGAATGTGAACAATGGCAGATCCAGGAACTTGAAGTAGAGGGTGTCCAAGGGGGTCTAGACCACCTCAGCCTAGCATTTATGATTATGGCATCTCTAGATAGCCAGAAATGGCACTCTCAGACTTTGATTATACAGTAATGTTCTTTTTTCTCCATTTTAATTGTAATTTTGGAAAATTTAGGTAGGAGGAGGGGTGGGGCACCAGGTTGGCTGGGCCTCACTTGAATCAGCTGTTGGTGAATATTAATTACATTGTCACTCCAAGATGATGTGGATGCTGAAATTTTCCACATGATGGATTTCAATGAAATTTTTTATGTATAAATATATGCATGACATTAATCTTTAAAGACAAAATATTCCAAATTAACCATAATTACCGAACAAATTGCAAATTCCAGAATCTATCATTCAAATTAATGTAGCATAAAATGAATTTCCTGACGCAAGCTTAATTATAATTTCATTAGAATTTGCAAGCCTCAAATTCCGGGAAAAAAATCAATAATTTACCGAAGATTTCATCAGAGATGACAAGGTTGTTGAAGAAATTAGAGCGATAGTCCAAATTTCGGTTTATTATTGATTGTCAGAAATTGTAGATTGCATAATTATTTTACTCATCATTATCAGAAATTGATGCTCAAAGGAATGTGGAGACTGGTGGTATTACTAATTCCTAGATATTAACAAGTACCATTATTTTGAAGGAGGTAATACTGGTAACATTAATGTTATAAATAAATAGCTATATACTTGCCTATAAAATTCAGTATTTAAATTATGATTTTAAAGAAGTTTATCGTATTAAAATCTATAAAATATAGTACTGTATTGATGAATAAATTAACATTTTGTATTCAACATAGAGCCAAATTTGTAAATGTTAATACCAAAATTAATTTAAGGTAAAGTAGTCCTAGAAAAGTTGATAAGATTCCTGGAAAGCAGCACGTAAAGATTACCAGAAACTAACCCATCTTCCGCAAATTAATGATTTTTGCATGTTTTTTTTATAATGTATCATTAATTGTCTACCTGAAGTTTGCTGCCCATGGGAATCACCATACACAGCAAAATACAAACTTTTTACACAGAATTGACACTAATTTTATCAAAATGCAGTAAAAAAAGGAAAGAGACATATATGTGATTTGTATTATGGATAGAGCTGCTATTTGGTGGAGAGCTGCCTATTTGGTGGCATGTACCACTTTGATTGACCACTAGGTTTGCACTGGTGGGTAGGGTTAAATCAAGGTAATTCAACAAAAGGACGCACATCTCGGGACATCAAAGGTTATAACTCTGGCATCGACATTCTAAGCGCACGTGCATCCCTACACGCTGAACGCCACAAAAACCATAGCAACCAGACCATAAACCGTCAGCGTACGTGACGATTTACCCACGCGCGTGTTAGTTGCCATGTTAGTCGCGCGTCGTGCGGTGATTACAAAGGCCTAATGATATTTTGCACTAACATTAGACTGAAATATATTCTTCATTTCAACATTAATTTTACCAAAATTGTGGTGAATTGTCGTTCATGAGACACACTTCGCAGAAAAAATAAATAAATGTTCCGTATATACTCAAATGTTCGTCCTCGGCACCTTATGCCAACATTGTCAAAATGACAGATTAATGTTACATAAGAACATGAAATTTTATAAAATTCGTAAATTTTGAAT